GCGCTGTTTAAGGCAGACATCGACTCCGCTTACCGGCGCGTTCCTATCGCTCCTGAACACAGGCTGGGGATTTCCGGGCGCCCAACCCTTTTAACAAAGCGTCGTCCTGGGGGCCCGCGTCAGGGTTCCAGAGGAACCCGGCGTTTGCGGTGTCGTTGTCGGCCTTTTCACAGGTGGGCAGCTTGCAGCGCGTATATGAACGACGGGGACATTTGGGTCACTGGCCATATAGTGTTGATGTTCGGCGCCCTGGCTGCCGTCTTTGGGCGGGGCCGAGTTGGTGCCGCCGCTGGTGCTGCCTTCGCGCACCTCGCCCGCGAGCTCTGAAAGATTCCCACACTCCGATACGTGGACGATTTCTTTGGGCTGCGCGCACCCGCAACAAAGGAGCATGCCATGGCGTCGCTGGCCAGACTAGTGCGCCTGCCCCTCGGTCCAGGAGCGGTACCCGACAAGAAGCTGGAATGTGGCGACGAGCTGGATATTTGGGGCCTGCATGTGTCCTTTTCTCTCAGCGGGATCAACTTGTTTCCCGCGCCCAAGAAGGTGCGCAAGTGGCTTTTCTTGATCAAGCAAGCGCTCGACTGCGGGACACTATGTGCCGGCCAAGCCAGCAAGTTGGCCGACGCCCTCAGCTGGGCAGGTCAATATTGTTTCGAGAGGCTAGGGCGCGCGATGTTGCAGCCCCTGTTCGCGCAGCAGGGTGCGCGACGTGGCGTCGTTCCCGCCCCGCTCAACTCGGCGCTCTCTTGGTGGGCAGAGGTGCTGGCCCTCGGCATCCACCAGTCCAAGCCGTGGGCGCAGCTGGAACGGCAAGAGGTGCTCTTGCTCGCTGACGCAAGGGGCGGGTCCGATCCACGGCTCGCCGCCGTGCTGTTCGTCGGTGGTCGCGCCTTCTGGTCTGACGCCCCTCCAGACCGAAAGCTGCTGGAGGATTTGGCGCCGCGCCGGGGCTCTCAGATCATGGCGTCCGAACTGCTCGCCATAGCGCTGGGTTTAGCTACCTTTAGTGAACTGCTGGCGGACCGCCGAGTGGTGATTTGGTCCGACAATGCGGGCGCTGAGGGAGCCGTGCGGAGCGGTCGCGCTTCTGCTTGGGGCCACTCGCGCATCATTCACGCCGTGTGGTTCCTCATTGCACGCACCCGGTGTTCGCCGTGGTTTGCGCGGGTTCCATCAGCGGAAAACATCGCCGACCTTCCGTCGCGAGAGGAGTACGAGTTGCTACGTGTTCTTGGGGCGAACTTCGTGACGCCGCGCCTGCGCGCGGCTGAGTTCTTCGCGCCGGAGACGTTTCTGGCCCGCGCTCTGCCGGCGGGAGCGCGCCGTCGCGCGCTGTCGCGCCCCGCGAGCGCCGTTGCGCATCGAAGGCGGCGCGAAGCACTGAAGGCGAGTGAGCCGCTGTCCCGCGTCGAGCCCGCGGCGAGCCAGGCCTCGCGCGTGCAATCGAGGGGCGGCCCGCGCGCATGGAGATCTGCAGCTAGCGCGCGTCGATTGGTTCGAACCCGTGCCTGCCGCAGAAGGGGGCGAGGCGTCAGCCCTAACGCCCTGCCAGTAGCGCTGACAGCGTTAATTTACGAAGCCAAGAAGCCCCCTGCCGTCGCGCGCGGCGCGAAGGACGAACCTCCACCTGCACCCGGCGTGCATCTGCGCGCGCGCCGCAGCCGCAGTCGCCCTGCCAGGCGGCGCGCTGCCAAGTGCAATGAGCTTACAACGGTTTGCGGTGCTGTGCGGGACCTTGAGCTGGCCGTCAGCATAGCGCGCCAATGCATTATCGAGCCGCGCGCGGGCCCCCGCCGTGAAGTCGAGGCCCTGCGGCAGGGGCTCGCTCAGCGCAGCTTCAGCGAATGGTCGAATTCGGCCCGAGTTGCCGCGATTCTGGGCAGCTGCTCGAAAACGTGGCCCAGCGTAGTCAGCGCCTTCCGCTGCTGGGTGACTTTCGCCATGACTGTGCTCGGCTGCGGCGCGGGGGAAGTGATTCCGCCGTCGCCCGAGGGCCTTGCATTGTGGAGCACGCGCTTCCGCTGCAAAGGAACGTTCGACAACTATACTTCGCACGTCAGATTAGTCTGCATCCTGTTGCGCGTCCCGCCGGACGCGCAGAGCGACCCGGCAGTCGCGCGCGCCGCTCGCGCGGTGCAAGAGCGAAACACTTGGCAGGCCAGGCCCAAGATGTTTATTCGAGAGGCGCTCCTCACCATATTACTGAGGCATCTCGAACGCCACCAGTCGGGGCGCGAGCTGCATATGCTTTTCTTTACGGCATACATATTCCTGTTGCGATTGCCGTCGGAAGCACTGCCGATGTTCGTCGCTCGGGGCGGCGATCCGCCGCGGGCGGTCGACCCGAAGAGCTGCCTCCGTCTGCGCGACGGCGCGATCTCGCTGACTTTGCTTTGGCGCAAGAATCGCGCCACGCCGCTCACGATGACGCGAACGTGCTGGTGCGCACGCTGTCCACCAACGTGCCCCGCGTACGCTCTGGGAAAATTCTGGGCCGAAAAGCACGTCCCAGCTGCCTTTCGCGGGTTTCCGCCCGGACGCTGTCCTGTCGGCGTTGAGAGCGGCCCTGCAAGAGCTCGGGGTGCCGCGGCACGATGCCTATCGCACCCGCGATTTTCGTCGGGGCCACGCCCAGGACATGGCGGTGCGTGGCTCGCGGCTGGCCGACATCCTTCTCGCCGGAGATTGGCGGCCCGCCGCCTTCCTGTCACATTTAGAAAGGGATGCGCTTGAGGGCGGCGCCGTCAGGGAAGCGCGCGGCTGCGCTTCGTCCAGCGACGAAGACGAGGACTGAGATGGCTGTGATCCTAAAAAGCACCTTCGGCGAGAACAGCGTTGGGTTTTCCTCGCGCGCCAGTGCAGCAAGGGCCGCGTGCGTCGCTGCACCCGCGCGCCCCCGCGGGGAGCGGCGAGCGACGAGTGCGTCGCTCGCCCCCCGCGCGGGCGCGTACCCACCCAACGAGCAGCGCTCCCCGCGCTCTCCCCCCGACCCTCGGGTTTTCCAGGGTAGCTTCTTTTGTGGGCGAGAACGCAACGCAGTTTTGTTCGGTGTCACAAAAACGCGGACCTGGGAACCATTTCCCCCAGCCGCCCCGCCGCTGGCGCCGCGGTTCGCCGCGTTGCCTGTGGTGGGGCGGGCTGGGTTCGGTTGGGGGGGTGCGTTTGGGTTGCCTCTCCGCAGGTCTTCATGGACTTTGTGTTCCTCGTCTTGTTCGTGTTCCTTACCCACGTCTCCCTGCGGCGTGGGGGGGGTGAATATACCCCCGCGTCGCGCGCGCCGCCCCGTGGGCGCTTTTCGGCCGAGCGCGAGGCCGGCGCCCTCGGTGCGCGCGTGGTCGGGCCGCTGTAGCGGCTTTTGTTTCCCCTCACCCTTCGCCGCTCCTTTGGTTGGGGCGGGGCGCGGGGCGCCGCTGCGCCCGCGCGCTCCCGCGGGGAGCGGCGAGCGACGAGCGCGTCGCTCGCCCCCCACGCGGGCGCGCGCCTACTCAACGAGCAGCGCTCCCCGCGCTCCCCCCCCAACCCTCGGGTTTTCCAGGGTAGCGTCTTTTGTGGGGGGCCAAGATCCTCTCATTTCTAATGCTTCTATCCTGGGCCTTCCTGGCCACTAGGGGGTCAGGAACAGCTAGAAAAGAACACGATCAGAAATGAGCACGGTGAGACATGAACGACGCGCGCGACTCGATTAAGCCGGAATTCGGGTTTGCCGAGGTTTTTTGCCGAGCGCGTCTTGGGTTTTGACGGCCCAGCTTTCGCTGCAGCGAGAGTTCGCGGCTAATTTCAGATTGGGTCTCGTCATTGTCATGATGGTCCCGTCGGGCCAACCCGAGCCCCCCGCATCCGAGTCTTACGTCTCTTTGGTTTGAGATATTGGAACTTAGCTGGCCTTCGGGTGGGGCCCTCGTCGCCCCGGCTGGACGCAGCGCGGAGAATCGGTGCGTCTGGTCCCCAGGAGGGGTCCAGAGACACAGTTTGAACCCCCAGTGTCTCAAACCGCCCTGCTTCGACCAACGATGATGATGACGATGATGATGATGGTGGTGGTGACGGTGGTGATGGAGATGGTGATGGTGATAATGATGGTGATGGTAATGATGATGGTGGTAATGGTGATGGTGATGGTGATGATGGTGATGGTGATGCTGATGATGATGACGATGATGATGGTGATGATGGTGATGGTGCTGGTGATGGTGATGCTGATGTTGATGCTGCTGATGCTGATGCTGATGCTAATGATGAAGACCGCCGAAGACCGCCCAAACACTTCCGAAAACCGCCTAACCGCCGAAGACTACCGAAGACCGCCGAAAAACCGCCGATGACCACCGAAGACCGTGCCGCGCCCCGGCGCCCGCGGCGGGGCCCGCGTTCGCTGGCGGTCTTCGACGGTCTTCCGGCGGTTTTCTGAGGCCAAGGTGCGTGTCGAGGGGTCCACGACCGAACGCATAAATGATGATGGTGGTGATGATGGTGCTGATGATTATGATGCTGATGCTGGTGCTGATGCTGATGCTGATGCTGCTGATGGTGATGATGATGATGATGTCGAGGATGACAAGGATGACCCTAGGACGCAATCAATGCCCACCCCCTCATCAAAGGAAATTGCAACGCTTCCAGCACCGGGGCTTGGGCGGAAGCGATATCCCCCGCAGAGTCTCCTCATCCTCTGGAGGTCTCTGGAGGTCCCCAGAGGTCTGATTTTGGTGATGCTGATGACGATGATGATGATGATGATGATGATGATGATGATGATGATGATGATGATGATGCTGATGCTGATGCTGATGCTGATGATGATGATGATGGTGTGATGATGATGCTGATGATGAAGTAGATGCGAATCCCAATCATATTGAGGAGGAGAATGGGGGAAGGAGAAGGAGAGCGCAAGATTAGGAACAGTGGTGGATTTCCGTGCGATGCGTGCTTTTACCTGCGGGTCTCATGCTGCTTTTTCCTTGGCCGTCGAGCCGTTCGCGACTGCCGGGGTCGAGGCCGAGCACGGCAACAGCAACAGCTCCCAAGTCTTTGTGGGAGGTCTGCCGTGGTCCGCAACAGAGGAGCAGTTGAGGACCTTTTGGGAGGGGTGGAGGGTCCGCCTTGCCGAGGGTCCCCTCGCACGTGTTTTGTTGTGTTCGCTCTCGCTCTCGCTCTCGCTCTCTCTCTCTCGTGTTCTTTCCGCTTCCTGTGGGTTGCCATGTGTTTTACAAGTTGTGGGTACGCACGTGATGCGCATTCCGTCGTCCACTCGACCTGCAGTTCTCTTGCAGGTTGCTTTTCTTCCGCCATGGTACGGCAATCCTACAGGGCCCAGGCACTATCCGAGCAGAGGGAAAGATAGGGGGAGAGAGAGAGAGAGGGAGACAGAGACATTGGCAGAGGGAGCGAGAGAGAGAGAGAGGGAGAGGGAGAGGAAGAGGGAGAAGGAGAGGGACGCAGGGAGAGGTGGAGAGAGGGAGATATGGGGGAGCGAGAGGGAGAGCGAGCGAGAGAGAGAGAGATACCGAGAGCAATTGTGAGCGATATCATCGCCACGCTTGGTCAAGCCAAGCCGATTGCCAATGAGTCGCAGAAGCAAATTCAGACAGCAACTCTCCATGCGTGAGGCCTCTCAGACGTCCACGTTCGACACTTCATCGAAACTGTTTGGGCAGCTTTTCCACCGACGCTGCCTGGAGGAATTTTACGTCCATAGACGAGGACCCATCGGCTCCAATCGGCTGGATATTGCCAAGGGATCCGTCATACAGAGGTGATGTGACATCTCAACGTGTCGGACGTACCAGTAGCCTTTTGTGATCTACTCGGCTGATCGTATTTGATGTTTCTGCAACGTTCTCCCGGCAACGCGACACACGAGCGTTAAACCTGTCCAGTGCCAGGCAGTGATGCGCGTTGCTTCGCTCGCTTGTGTTCACTTTCCCCTCGGTCGCGTGCATCACCTTCCACTTCCTGGTTATCGGTCGTCTCTCGGTCTATTCGTCTCGCCTGTTCATTTGCGTACTTTGTGTCGCGTAGTTGTTCTTATGTGTCGTGGAACAGTGGGTGGACGGGCCAGAAAGTTCTTCGCAAAGTACGGCGAGATAGCCGAGGTCTCCCTGCCTGCAAAGACTGCTTATGTGAAGTTCAAGAAGCAAGAGGCACGCGTCTCAACAGGGAGGACATGACAATGGCAGTTGCATGGGGCCTGTGACATGTCATATTGCCCTGGCTGCACGTGCTTGCTTGCGGGTGTTGTTGCGCGGGGGGCAATCCCAGGCAGAAGCTGGGCCAATCTCTGATAAGGGATATTGGGGGTGGTAGAACAACGGTGCCTTATCTTAGATATGGTCAGTACAAAAACGCTTCAGAGTAAACAGACACGCATCTTTGATCAACGGACATTGCTCATCGCGGTTTCGATTCCCTGTCTGGCAACTTTTGATTGGTTCGCTGGTCCCAAAAACAACAAATCAATGCGTAGTTCGCTCCGCCCGAATCTTAAACATGCGTTTCCTAGAATGGAAAAAACATTACCAACTTGAAAACAACGGTCAGTTTTGTAATAATGCACGGGGGCGACTGGCCGCGTCGGCCACAGCGTACGGGGGCTGAGTCGGGCACCGTCGCTACTTACCATTATCGTCATCGTGCCGGCCTTTGTGTGTCAAGCGTCAGCTTTTTGCACAATGCAGTAGACATGCAACACTCCCTTGTACTGAGACGTCTTCGTGGCAATGTCTTCCGCACGAGTTCCCAGCATGAGTTGTGCAATTATTTGGTGTGATTGCTTGAGGTGTTTACATCGTTTGGTCAATGCTTCGTTTCGGGGCGGACGGTTTCACATTGACAAGTGCCACAGGTTTCTTCACAGTTCACCGTGGCGTCAGGCATTTTGTCAATGCGATCGGTTGAGAGGTGGTTGCGCGTTAAAGGCGGTGTATTCTCATCTGGTTAGCGGGCGTCTGTTAGCTCGACCTTGACAGGGTGTTGCTGGGGACACAACTTTGCCAGAGCAGGGGACGTCAGCCAGTGCCGAAGTGGCAACGGTGGACGATTGCAATTTGGTGCCCGTGAATGTTCTTGAGTTTCTCGACCAGGGTGTTGCCTGTGATGCTATTGTATCTTCTGGCGATGCCAGCACGACGGTTTCCAATGCTGATGAAGGAATTGTGGATGTTGCCAGAATTTTGGATGCCCGAGATCAACGGAACAGCGCACTCATAACCACTTTTTGCGGCTTCTAGACCCCTCAATTGGAAGAAGACAAATATGATTGCGTCGTTGTCCAAAAAGCTTGACAAGGATAGGTCAAAGACCCCGATGCTGAAGATGAAGTTCGATGAGCTCCTCCCTTTCCTCCTCCCGCTTTCCTCCCGTCGCACTTTTGGCTTGGAACATTTTGGCTCGAGGGTGGTGTTCCCGCCCAGGAGGTGGTCCACGTTGGGATAAACAGGACGACGGTTGTCCGACATCTTCAATCTGATGATCCAGAAAAAGAACCAGCCGTCGTCGCCCCGCCGTTTCCCTCATCAAAAACTGGACCACCTCCAACGCGGGACTTTCATCCCCACTTGTTGCGTGTGCGCGCGCGTGCGTGTGTGTGTGTGTGTGTGTGCATGTGTGTGCTTGTTTTTTGTGTGTGCGTGCGCGCGTGTGTGTGTGTGTGTGTGTGCTTGTGTGTGTGGGGGTGTGTGCGCGCGTGTGTGTGTGCGCGTGTGTGTGTGTGTGTGTGTCTGTGTGTGTGAGAGTGTGCGTGCGTGTATTCGTGTGTGTGTGTGCGTGTATGTGTGAGTGTGTGTGTGTGTGTCTGTGTGTGGGGGGCACGCGTGGCTACGTCAAGCTTGATGGTCCGTACGGGAGGAGCCCGCTCACCAGACCAAATCCGACCAGTCCACAGATAGGTTGCAGATGCAGGTTGGCCAGTTGAGGCGCAAGCATAACCAGCGTTACCACAGACCTTGTTGGACTTAAGTGCCTTGTCAAGAATAGTTCTGCGCGCAAATGGGCGGGTCCACTTCGTAGTACGCGCTGCCGACCTATGCAAGGAGCACGGGTCAGATGAGTCGGGGGCATCGTCGACGAGGTCGAAGTTGCTCATCAGGGTGAGGCCGACGTGTAGGATTTCGCAGGATCAGGGGAAGACGTGGTCTTGGGCGAGCATCTTGGCGCGTTGCGTGACACGGAGCATGGACTGGTCGGGCGAGCTTGCAATCCCTGCGTGGCTTCTCTTCTCAGGCTGTGTCGGCCGAGCCGCTTGCAGTCCTCCTGGTGCACAGCGTGTGTCTAGGGGTGGCCCCGCCGCGAGCCGACCGGCGGCTGGACCCAGCTCGCCGCCGATGAACAAAAACGCGCATCTGGGGGCCATCGGTCCCTCCCGCTGCCGCGCCTGGGTCGCTGGCACGAGGCTTCTCAGATGGCTCTCGGGGTCTCTTGGACGGCCTCGGAGTCCGTGTCGGGGCCTGTTGGGCGCCGTTTTGGAGGCCTGTTGGGGGCCTCCCGAGGATGTCTTGGGAGCCTGCGGGGCCTTCTCGGGGGCCCGGAGGCGAACTCGGGTGCCATGTCGGGTTGGAGAGTCCCAACAGCCCTTTCGCGTTCCCTCTCTTGGGGGCCTCTTCGGGCCTCATGGGGGCATCTTGGGGCTCTCGTGGATGCCTCTCGGGCCATTCTGGAAGCAGTTGAAACCCCAAACCGGGCATGCGAGCATGGTATACAAACTTCATGTCTTTCGGCGACGTGTTTTTTGTTGGCCGGCCCTCCGACGGCCTCCAAGACGACCCAAGAGGCATCCAAGAGAGCCCAAGGACGGTCCTCTGGGGCCACTTTCACACGTGGGAAATATGGCCCCCCCCAGCCATGTTATCAAGGCCTCTAGAAAAGTCACGCGGGAAGCCCCGAGGAGGCGCGATGGCGCCCAAGAGCGCCCAGCTCTCGGGGGTCTCGGCCCCCTGTAAAGCGCCTGCGGTCTTCAATCCAGAGACTCCGCGCCTCGCGAGACGGCGGCGGATTACCAGAGCTCGTGAACTCTTCCAAAGCAGACTCAGATTCATTGCGTAGGCGGCTTCTGTCTGGGAGCATTTCGTGACATACTTTCTGTCGGCGGCGAGGCTGGGTATCCAGACTGGGCAAGGCCACAACGCCCTCAGACTGCACAGCGCGCTCTCTGGCCATGGCACCATGGGATTGTCGTTTTTGACCTTGCGCGCTCTGCAACCACTCCATGATGATTATCTGTGTCTGTGTCTGGCCGACGGTTGTCGGCACCGACATCCCGAGGCATGGGTCGGCACGTTGACCAGTTGATGATGTTATTGGTACCGCAGACTGTCAACGACCTGAACAATGGCGCGCGCTTCCAAGCTAGAAAAGAAATAGGATGAGGGAGGAAGCAGGAATGAGGGAGTGCAGAGAGAAAACATTCACAGGTCACAGGCTCTCATTGTTCAGTGTTCGCCCCTCCATTCTAATTTACATGCAAAGTCGGATAAAGGTGGTTGCAATGACGTCTCGCAAACACTGGGCAGAAGGCTGCTAGAGCCGCCATCGAGTCCGACGGCACGGCGTTCGGTGATAACACGTTGAAGGTCAATCAAAGAGTAAGTAAGGACCGAATTGGGTCGGGAATCTTTATCATCGTGAGCTTCGTCCATGGAAGATGAGGGCAGTTGGTGTTCGACATGTGCTGAATGCGCGAGTATGGGCTTCAATCGCGCCCGCATGAGGTGTGATATATACTGAGGTAGAATGCATGTCGCATCCCGCTTGCCACGTTTACAAGCAAGTGCGTTTGCGACACGCAGTGTCTGGTGATCCGTATGACGCGTAATGTAATGTTGCCGGCACGTATGACTTATTGAACCAGCTTAAGCGATCATGAGAAGGGGGGATTGTGGTTCAAAGTTGATGCGCATTTGATTCCCATCTAGCCACATATGTGTCCTGAGCGATATACAGTTCCTCACTTGAATGACATGTAGTTCCCGCTGGCTTTCCCTGTGTCGCTTAAGTTCGTGTCACAATGGATGACATCGCTTGTTCCTTTGCAATCACCTGCCATGGCCATGCATACATGCATTCGCTTGTCATTGCCAATGTGTTCGCACATGCACGCCACGAAATAACAGCACAGCGCGTCCACGACCTTTATGACATTGCATCGGAAGTGTGCTTGGCATGCACTTCGCAAGCGAGGGATTGTGCTGTCTTGTCTTACCGCAAGTGAGCCACGAATGACGTCAGGTTCATGATCAGCTAGCTGTGCATGAGCAAGGGCGCCCTCGAGGGCGCGAAGTTACTCGCGCTTCGCGGTTCGGCTCCGATTTCTCTTCATCCTCCTCTTCTCCCTTGGGAGGCGGCGCGAGAGCGCTAAATTATTTGCATTTCGCGCTTCGCGCAGCGCGAAGCGCGAAGTTGGGAGCCTTGGATGAGGCGGGCAACGCCGTCTGCCCCTCGCACCCCTGGCTGACCCCCTTGCGTGGCTATCTTGCGACAGCTTTGGGATTCTTGGGGGCCATGCTTGGTGTCTCTCGTGGGCATCGTGGCGTCTCCCAGGCCACCTTCGGGACATCGTAGGCTATCTTAGGGCTGAAGGGGATGGGGAGGGGGAGGTGGGAAGAGGAGGAGGAGGAGGGGGAGGAGAAAGAGGAGGAGGAGGAGGATGTCGGGAGGAGGATGTCGGGAGGATGTGTTGGAGGAGGAGGAGAATAAGGTGAGGCGGAGGAGGATGCTCCTCCGAATTTAGCGTTTAGGACACCCTCGTCATGCTCCCCCTCGCGGCCCTAGGGCCTCGGCAAGGGCGAGAGGAAGGCCGAGAAGGTCGACTTCAGGGGGAAGAGAAAGGCAAAGGGAAAGGGCAAGGGGAAGGCCAAGAAGACCAAGAAGGACAGAGCAGGCGGATGCGCCATGCCCTCGTTTCCTGCTCGCCTCCCGCGCGCTTCTGCCTCCCCGGGGCGGGGTACCAATGTCCCCCAGAACTCGGGGGTGGGCAACCTGGACGGATGTCCCCCTGAATGGGTGGCCCCTCTTGGACACTGGCCAGACTACGCATGGAGGCTCGCAGCGCTCGTGAACAATTAGCCTGGCGAAGGACCCAACCATCTGCAGTTGTGGATACTGCAGTTGTGGGTATCGTCTTCGGTGGAGCCCCCTTTATGGGGGCCACGAAACGCTGTACCGGGCGGGGGAGACGCATGCGGACTGCGCCACTGGGACCTTCGGTGGAGCTCCCCATGGGGCCACGAATCGCTGTACCCGGTGGAGGAGACGCATGCGGGCTGACCCCCTGGGACCGTCGGTGGAGCTCCCTACGGGGCCACGAATCGCTGTAAGGCGCAAGGGCATCTTAGAAGTTCCGCCGCCTTCTGAGATTGCCTTCTCCTTCGCATTTCCACCCCCTCGCTCGCCGCGAAAATTCGTGAAGGCGCCCGAGGGAGGCCCGAGGCGCGGCAGGGGGGGGGGGGAGGGGGGAGGCGCTCGCCTCGAGTTCGGTGCTGAGGCGGCGCTGGTGGCGCAGGCGCGCAGTGGCCCGCCGCCTTCCCCCTCCTCATCTTCGCTCCCTCGGGGGTGGATCTGGACGCAGCGGAGGCTGCTGTCCCACTCCACCCTCCCCCCCCCACCCCAGACTGCCAAGGCGGGCTCTACCCGGGTCGCCGTGGGGTCGCGCGCACGGTCCCCCCCCCCGGGAACCTGGCGCCCCCACAGAAAGGCGGCCACGCGTGAGGCCACCGCACCCTCCTCTGGAGGACCGACCCAATCCTCCCATCCACGAGAGGAGGCGGGCCCCGCGGAGGGGCAAGGGTCTCCCTGTCCCCATGCCTTTCCGCCCGCCCCTCCCGGCTGCCTCCCTCCGCCTCCCTGGGCGGAGGTCCCTGGGGGAGGGAAGGTCCAGCTGTCACCACGGCACCTCGCCCCTGGCATCGGAGGAGGAGGAGGAGGAGGAGGAGGAGGCACCCCATCCCCCCCCTCTCTCCCCTCTGGGGTGGGCGCGCGATGGAGCGCGGGAGCGGAGGGGGTGCGCCTCCTCTCGATGTGGCATGGCAGTGCGGCGCTGGTGGCGTCGGTGCCCAGCCTGAGGTGGCGATGCTCCGTCGCCAGGGTGCAGATGCTCGGGCGTCGGGGCTGACCCTATCGCGTCCCCCCCCCTGCTCTCCTCCTCCCTTTCGCACCCTCCCGTTCTCCCTTCGCCCCTCCTCTTTGTTCTCCCTCTTTTCCAAGGGGCCACGGGGGAGCTTGCCATGTCCTCGGCGCTCGCCCGGCGCTGGTCGGTGGCGGCGCCAACGGCGAGGGGTAGCCCCTGAAGCGACCTGAGGCCGCGGCCGTCGTGGTCGTGGTCGTCGTCCCGGTCGTGGTCGAGCGTGGCCGTGGTCTTAGCCGTGGTCGTGGTCTCTTGGCCGCAGTCGTTGTCGTCGTGGTCGTGGTCGTGTTCGTGGTCGTCGTGGTCGCTGTCGTGCTCGCCGTCATGGTCGCGGTCGCGGTCGCGGTCGTGGTCGTCGTCGTCGTCGTCGTCGTCGTCGTCGCGCCGTCTGTGCCCGTGCCCGGCGTCGGCTTTGGCCTGGGGTCGCCGGCGCTGGCCCCCTCCCGCATGCGTACCTAGATCGGCGCTGAGCCCAGACCTCCACGAGCGTCGCGGCGAGAGTCACGGGGCACGTTTTGTATCATTTGGCATCGCTCGGACGTGTGCATGTTTCCTTCGGCGAGGACCAGCGAGGAACATCCTCGATCATTTGGCGAAAATCACGCGCGAAACAGAAAAACACACAGGAAATGGACGTTCGAGCGATGGCCAGATCACCGCTGCGGCTTCAGCAGCCGCTGTCGGGCCTCATGTCGGTAATCGGCCGTAGTCGGCAGACCACAGGAGCACGGCAAAGTACAGGAGCACGGCCGACTACAGGAGCACGGCAGACCAACACAATGATCGCCAGCATTTATGTATGTTGTTTACCTTCCGTTTCCGAGTTCGTTTGACGTTCTCAACAGGGCGTTCTCTGACAAGTTTCGTGGACAAGAGCGACGCTTCCCTTTCTTGTCCAGTGAGGTTGCTCCTTGGAATTTACTGGCGGATTACGGGAAGCGCGCTCGGACTCGAAGAGTCGCGCGATTAACGTTGTTAACGATCCAGAAGGGGACAGCATATGTTTCAAGTGGGGGGAGTGCAGAGTGGGGAATGGCCCCGGATCGCTCCGTGGCCAAGGCCTGGCAGATTCTTCAGAAGGCTTCCGCAACGTGGAGTTTCCACGTTACGTTTGTTTCACAAGTGTGTTTGTGTAACATGGGATGGATCGGCGTATTCGTGGAAATCCCATGTTAACCGTCCTTGGGGTACGTTGACACGTTGACCCGCTGACGTGGAAGATCTCCACGTTAAGTTTTGAGACGTTGATCCCATGTTGCCCCTCAACGTGCAAAACGTGTCAAGTGTGGAGATTGCTGAGAATGGCCATTTGGTTCGAGGCGTCCTCACACATGAAACTCTCGCTGCAGACATCCTTGAACATGGAAATGTTGAAATCGCTCGCAAAACGCTCCGATCTTCTGGAATTGAGCTCTCGCCTGAGACATCATCGAACACATCGTATGCGCAGAGGGCTGTTTAAGACAATTGTTCGGACACTCTTGGGTGACTCCCAGCGAAATCATTGAAAACCCATGCGTTTCCAATACTGCGTTTCAAAGGCAAGCGTTTCGCTCGAGACGTCCTCAACAAAATGCTTTCGGACAGGAAGCTGACCTTGCGCGGGTAGAGAATTGCCCCTCTTGTCGGCAGAGGGGGCAGGCGACGAGAGCGATGAGGCGAAGGCAAGGGCGCCGAGGCGGAGGAGTACGAGCGGCAGCAGGAGGATCAGGAGCAGCATCCGGGGGAAGTCTTTACCCGCATGAGTTCAGCGCACCGCTTGAACTGGCGCGGGCAGTTAGATCTACATTTGTTTCTGTGTTGACTTCTGGTGGTGCGCCTACGGTGCAGTTGATCTCGACGGTGTTGCAATTATTGCGAGGTGTCGGAAGTGTTATGCTCACCTTGAAAGGACAAGTTCATGTATGTGCGCCAGTTCTGCGCCATGTGTGAACCTGCGCGGGTAGTGAATTTCACCTCGTACCCCCTGTGGACGTTCGAGAAGAGCGCTTATGCTACGGTTGATCTCGTTGGCGGTGCATGCTCTGGCCATGATCTTCTATTTCACGCGCTTCCCGTTCATGTTAGGAAAGGTCTTTGAAAAAAACGGCAATTTCGTTCGGGAGATCCTGAACAAATGCTCCGGAGGTGACTCCGAATGAACGTCGTTTGGGAATCGCTCTTGGAGAGGCCCACGGTGACCCACAAGAGCCTGAAAAAGGCTCCCTGGAAGACCCAACGAGGGCTCCAAGAGGCCTCCAAGAGCGCTCAAGGAGGACCCCCGGCGGCCCAAGGGAGCCCCAAGACAGCCCAAGATGGCGCCAAGAAATGTCAGCCACAGAGAGCCTCCATAGTTCCCCAGGACACGCTCAGACAGCCCAAGAGGACCTCGGAGGCCCCCAAGAACTCAGGGGGAGTGCGAGGGAGGAATGGAGGGGTAGATCGTGAGAAATGGAGGGCCGTCCGAGGCAATCAGCGCCAGTCTTGTGGGAAACAGTCAATGAAAATCAAGCATGTTGCCAAATAATTTCCAGATGACTAAAAAAGAGTTTTTGTTTAAACATGTTTTGGATATCTTTCAAACGTTTTGAACACATCTTTAATTAAATGATAGGATTGTTAGGGTGTCCATTGTCATGGCATCCACAACGCCAGTCCTTGTGAGTTCTGTGGTGATGGCGATAGTTATGAAGAACAGGGAGGGGTACAGAGAGGCAATGGCGTATTTCCAGAGGCGTATTTCCAGCACCCAGTATCATCCTTTACTGCGGCGGCGGTGCTCGACGACGCCATCCCAATGTTTGTCCGGACTAGTTTCCAGACAGTGGATTGCCAAGCGTGCCCGAACGTCTTAACCAAGTATCAATGTTCACATTCAATGTGATCCCTAACGCATGGTCGTCTCTCACATTCTAGGCCTGTCACGGTGGGTGATCGAGGCGTCGGAAAGAAACGAACGAAGGCACTGGGGCTCTCCCCCATGTTCTGGAGGGTCGAAGGAGGTCCAAGAAGGTCCTCGGCGTCACAAACGTGCACCACTATCGATAATCGATCCTCCCCCCTATTTGTCCATCAGCCTTTCATCCGCAAGCGAACCTTACACCTTTCGCCTATCGATGATGACCAGTAGGGGTTCTTAAGCGGGGTTTCAGAAGCTGTGGTCGGGCATGCTTGAAGCGAACCGCAACTGGTGAACCCCTACTCTTCCGAATCGAGGGGGGTGATGTTAACCTGTGACCACTCGATGATGAGTTAGTGACAGGAAAGAAGGCAGAGGAGGAGGAAGGAGGAGAGGAGGAGAGAAGGACGAGGATGAGGGGGAAGAAGGAAGAGGCAGGAGGAGAAGGAGAAGGAGGAGATCGACGAAGACGACGACGACGACGACGACGGGGAGGACGGAGGAGGAGGGGGAGGAGGAGGAGAAGGAGGAGGAGGAGGAGGAGGAGGAGGAGGAGCAGGAGGAGCAGGAGGAGCAGGGCGAGGAAGGTAACGAGGGAGGTGGGGGAGGAGGAAGAGGAGGAGGAGGAGGAAGAGGAGGTGGGGGAGGAGGAGGAGGAGGAGGAGGAGGTGTGGAGGAGGACGTTGGGGAGGACGTAGAAGGAGGAGGAGGAGGGCGGAGGAGGAGGAGGAGAAGTATGGAGGGCTGTGACGGGCTTCGACGACGACATCCGAAGACGACGACGACGACGAACACGACGACGTCCGACGACGACGACGGCGACCGACGACTTCCGAGGCGGGGCCATGTTGCCCCCGCCGCCGCCGGACGCGAGCGGGCT